TGGCTTAGTAATCCTTCCAATCCTATTTGTCCTTTTTCATATCGTTCAATGACTCTTTTTAATTGAACAATTTGAAAGACATTTGATTCACACTTGGAGCATGCAAAGTTTTCTTTTTCTTTAATAAAATTCTGTTTTTGAAGATCAAAATCTTTAGTCATGGTGTCAATTTTTTCTAAACAACTTAGAAGTTCTTTTTCTTGATTTGACACCTTTTTGTATAAACTTTTGCATTCTTTCAAGAGTTCATCAATAGCATCTTGAACATCATCATCAAAAAGATTAAGTTCATTACTAACCTCTTCTTCATTGTCGGAGTGACGTGAAGCCATTAATGCTAGATTTGCACATTCCTCGCTTTCCAAATCGGATGAAGAACTTATCTCATTATCTTCCCATGCAACATAAGCCTTTTTGTTCTTGAACTCCTTTTTGCCTTTGAATCCATTTTTCTTGGAGAGTTTTGGACAATCCGGCTTTATGTGACCTTGCTTTCCACATTCATAACATGTGACATCTTGTGTTGATGTGGAGGCTTCTTTATCTTTATGATTATAAAATTTCTTCCTCTTGACAAAGTTAGCACTATGAAGATTATTTTTATGACCAAAATATTTTCCTAACCTTTTTACAAGAAGCAAGAAGTTTTCATCTTCCTCCGATGCATCTTTATCTTGACTTTCCTTTGAATCAACTTTCAAGGCAATGCCTTTGGATTTCTTCTCTAAATTTTCATGTTTTTCAAGTCTACCGAGTTCCGTTTTATATTCTTGAAGTTTGCCAAATAATGTAGCGGAAGTCATTGCGGAGAGACTCTTCTTTTCCGAGATTGCCGTTACCTTTGGTTGCCATTCCCTAGTTAATGATCTAAGGATTTTCAAGTTGAGTTCATCATTTGTCAAGGTTTTACCAAGAGCATTTAAGTGATTTGTCAAATGCACAAATCTCTTTTGTAAGTCAAGAATGGATTCTCCGGGCTGCATCGAAATAGTTCATATTCTTGACTCAAGGTATTTAGCCTTGATCTTTTTACTTCAGCTGTTCCTTCATGAGTTTGAACAAGGGTATCCCATATTTCTTTTGTTGTCTTACAGTTCGAGACACGGAAAAATTCGTCCATACTGAGTGCACCTTGAAGAAGGTTTATTGCCTTTTTGTCATAGAGAACTTTCTTTTTATCATCGTCGTCCCATGCAGTTTTGGGCTTTACAGAACCAATGCCATTGATAACAGATATCGGGATAAATGGACCATTTTCAACAGCATCCCATACTTCCTCTCCTTGTGCTTCTAAATGCGCCTTCATGCGTATTTTCCAGAAGTCAAAATATTCACCACAGAATAGAGGAGGCTTGTTGTTACTACCACCATCTCTGAAGACTGGTTGATGATTTGCGGAAGCCATTCTGGATCTTTAGGAACAAGTTACCTATAACTTGCTCTGATGCCAATTGTAAGTCTCAGAGTGCCTAAGAGGGGGGGGGGGGGGGGGTGAATTAGGTCTTATAAAATTTATTCGATTTTATGAGAATGCTTGGTAGTAATTTTGGTTAAGTGTTTGAAGGTTTTGTTTATATCTTTATCTTTTCCTGATTATGGTGATGAAAGCGATAAATGCGGAAAAGTAAAGAACACGGTGATATATCCTGGTTCCCCTCACAATCCGAGAGTACTCCAGTCCCCTTTCCAATACGAAAGAGATTTCACTATAGTTAGAATGATTGTACACCCTATGCTTACTATCTAACCTATAGGGTGATCAAAGGTTCTTAACACCTTTAAGACCAAACAAACACTAATGTGAATGAAGAACAATCCTCTTCAAATCACAACACTTACTTCCAACAATCCTGGATAGTAAGGGAAAATCTTTAAGTAATACAATGATTAATTTTGAAGTATATGGAGAGCTTTATCAATCTTCAATTGATCTTCTTCTTCAAGATAAAAACAATTCTCAACAATGTATATAAATGTTCACAATGTATGAATGAAACTTGAAATGATAATGAAAGTGTATATGGCAAGTTTCACAAAATTATGAACACATGAAAGTATAATTTCAAATGTGAGTAAATGAGAAAATTGTTAATGAAGAAGGATATTTGTTAATTTGAAAATTGAAGTATTGAACATTGAACATATATGAAAATGTTATTGTGTTCTTGTTTTTAAAATCTGAAAAATTCTGCATTTTATAAAGTTGTAAGAACCTCTTCATTCATGCCAATTCATATGAAAAGTTGCAATGCATTCATGAAAAGATACCACTTGAAAAATGTTCAAAAAACAAAGTAAAAGCTGCATTGGTTCGCTAGGAACCGGTTCTGACACTGACAGAACCCGATTCTTAGTGAACGTTATAAGTTGAAATTCAAATTTATCACGCAGGAACCGGTTCCCCTATTGGTACAACCCGGTTCCTGGTACAAAATCCAGGGACATGTTTTTTGAGAAATTCTGGAACCCGGTTCCCTGTTAGGGAGGAACCGGTTCCTAAAGGTTTATTTTCAAAAATACATTTTGAAAGATATTTTAAACAAAGTTTTTCTTGATGTTAAAGTTATGGAATATGTATATGTTGATGAATACATATTGTGAACATCTATATTCAAGATTTAAAGAATTATTTATACCATTTTTACATTTGATGATTTCTTTAATAATTCTTCAATAATCTTTAATAATCTTCAATAATCTTCAAGACTTTTTATTTGATGTTGATAAGCTTTTTGCACATCCTTTGAAACTTGATGTCCATGTTGTCTTCATCAAAACATATGCTTTAAATATGACTTGAGAAGCTTGCAATTACAGAGGGAAGGTTCTACAAGTTGAGAAAAGTGTTATACAGACTTAAGCAAGCTCCGAGAGCTTGGAATAAGAGGATAGACATGTTCCTAGTTGATGTTGGCTTCAAGAAATGTGCGTTCTAGCATGGATTTTATGTGAAGACAGATACAAGTGAACATGTGATTATACTTTGTCTATATGTAGATGATTTGTTGATCACATGCAACAACGAGATGAGTATTTCTAAATTCAAGAGTGAGCTTATTAAAGAATTTGAGATGAGCGACCTTGGTATAATGACATACTTCTTTGGCATAGAGTTCCATAAGTCCAAAAGGGGAATACTTATACATCAAAAGAGATACACTCTTGAGAAAATGAAAAGGTGTAATATGGAGCATTAGAACCAAGGTTGCAATTGTCTAAGAATGAGGATGAGAAGAACGTATATCCTACTCAATATATGAGGTTGATTATATCGTTACGTTAATTGTGCAACACGCAACCAAATTTAGTGTTTAATGTCGATATTGCGAGTATATTCATTGAGAGACTGAAGGTGTTTCACTTGACAGCAATCAAGAGGATCCTAAGATACGTCAAAATGTCTATTGGCTGCGTAATTCTCTTTCCCGTAGGGAACACGGGCAGAAAATGATTTTGCTTGGTTTTACCGATTCTAATTAGTGTGGAGATAAAGATGATCAAAAGTCTACAGCTGGATACATCTTTATATTCATGGAAACACCATTCTCATGGTGTTCGAATAAGGAACTGGTAGTTGCACTCTCGTCTTGTGAGGCCGAGTATATTTCCGCTTTGTTATGTGTGTGCCAAGTCTTATGGCTAATGAATCTACTGTAGGAACTAGGCAATAATAAGGGTGAGGTTATCACACTTTTGGTTGATAATGTTTCGGCTATTAATCTTGCTAAAAATCCAATTGCACATGGGAGAAGCAAACACATTGAGATGGGGTTTCACTATTTGAGGGAGCTTGTTAGTGAAGACAAGTTAAGATTGAAATATTGTAGAAGTGAGGACCAAATGTTGATTTATTGACTAAGGGAGTCACAAATGATGTGTTCAAGAGGTTGAAGATGATCCCGGACATGGAAAACTTGGAACACTTGAATTAAGGTGGTGTGTTGATTGAAAATCTATTATTCAAGTGTTGTAACTGATTAACACGAAGTGTAACCGGTTACAATTGTAGTATAAACACTTATGGAACCTGAAAAGCTACATTTTGAGTTGTTGTAACTGGTTAACGAAATACGTTAACCGGTTAAACCAGATACATATTATTTTAGTTTGTTCAGTGGTAACCGGTTAACAATTTGTGTTAACGAATTACGAGCACAAAATTTTAGTTTTTCTTGTATTTTGATATTTTGTTTTAGGTCTCAATTATTGTAATATATTTGTATAAATATTTTGAAGGCATTTCTCATCTCTCTCCACATACTCTATTGTTCATCAATTATATGATTGTATGTTTCAAATTCTAACGATTAACCGTCTCAAATTTAATGAGAGCAAAATCTATTTATTAAGAAAAAAGTGGATGCGAGAAAAATAGCAGAGTGTTGTTAGTCTCTCCACATCCGTGTGATATACTCCAAATTCTTAAGTTGTGTCTCTATTTATTAATCTTATTATAGATTCATCTTTACTAAAATATTATGTTGTTTTGATAGTTTAATATTAAAAAATTTAATTTTTGAAAATCTAAATTATTTGAATAATACTACTCCATTTAATTAATTATTAACTTTTTATGTTAAAAGAAATGAAGCACGGTGAATTGAAAACATACAAATATGTTTAATTTTAATGAAAAATTAAAATTTTTAAGATCATAAATGTTCAATAATAATCTCTCACAAAATTTGTACTGTAATTTTGATTATTAATAATTTCATTAGCTTTTTTAATTTTTTAAGTAAAAAGACTAATGGCTAACTAATTCACCTATCCTAATTAAATAACAAATCTATAACAAATATCAAAATATATAAGAATATAATTCCAAACATTAGGTCATAGAGTCGTTCAACTAATCTCATTCTTGAGCCTCTAATATCTACATAGACGAAAACATTAATTCATCCTCAAAACAAACCTACGACCATCTCTAAACGCATGACTTCCCCCGACCACAAATTACAATGTCTTTAAGGATCTCTGATTTCATTCGTTTGTACATGCACTTCACGACACAGTGGCCTCTACTAATATATGCTGTCACTTGGGTTACGGCACTGACATTGACAGTAGCGGTGGCCTCATTTTCCTCAGAGGTAGCTTTTGTCTTTGCCATTTCACCCTCTAACAAGTGCGAAGGTAATGAAATTAGAGTTCCCTTGGATGTTCCAGGAGACACATTCTGTATCCCCGCTCATCTCTTTGTCAAGTCTAAAATTGATCTCATAGTTCCACCCGTCTTTGCAGCACTCATTGTAGCTTCATCAGCTTGCGTTGTTCGAGCTGCGGGCTTCTGGGAGGATGGATGATTACGACTTTGTTTCATCTAATTAGTTATATTTAAATACATTTATCTTCGTATCAAAGTTAATGAAAAATTTAAAAGCAACTGTTTCATTTTCTTAGATAGATTCAAATGATTGTTACAAATGAATTGATTTATTTTTATCGCTAAAATGTTAAGCAACATTATTGTGAATAAGCAAAATGAATTATGAAAGGAAGAGGAATGAAGACTAAGAGGATTCAATAGCAAATCTTCATTGATTACTCAGCTGGACAAATTGAAAAGAATAGAATAAAATATTATCTCTTAACAACCAATGAGAGCTAAGCTATCTCAACTAACTACCAATAACAAAATTAATTCTAACCAATAAGAACTAAAGTGATTAACAAGCTAATGAGAGTTATTAAATTGATAATCACAACAGCCCCTCTCAAACTAAGTATAATATATGTTAAGCATGTCAAGTTTGGATACAAATTTATTGAAGGTTGTTGTGGGTAGCGCCTTGGTCAAGAAATTCGTAAGCTGATCATGAGTTGAGATTGGAAGTAGACGAAATAAGCATTGTTGAATCTTCTCTCTCACCAGGTGATAATCAATTTCCAGATGTTTAATGCGGTCATGGAAGACGAGATTGGATGCAATATGCATCACGTTCGGGCTATCATAGTACAGAACAAGCATCCTTGAACAAGTGATGTTTAGTTCCTTCATCAGAAAAGTTAACCAAAGCAGCTCACAAGTGGCAAAAGATAATGCCCTATACTCAGCTTCTGATGATGATCTGGAAATTATCTGCTGTTTCTTGGCACGCCAGGAGATGAGGGAGGAGCTAAGAAAGAAGCAATATCCCGAGATAGATTTTCGTGAGTCAAGACATCCTGCCCAGTCGGCATCTGAAAATCCTAGGAGTTGTGGTTCTGAGTTTCTACGAAACATGAGACCTCTGCCAGGGTTGTTCTTCAAGTATCTAATAACCCTGCAAGCAGCATGGAAATGTGCCATGATAGGGTTGTGGAGAAACTGGCTAAGTTGCTGAGTAGCATATGTAATGTCAGGCCTTATGGTGTTGAGATACATCAATCGACCAATCAACCTTCTATATGCTCCAATGTCTTTGAAGGATTTTCCATTGTCAGCATGAAGCTTGATGGAGGAATCAAGAGGAGTTGCAGCTGGTTTAGAACCAAGTCACCCAGAGTCTTGCAATAAATCAAGACAGTATTTCCGTTGAGACAAGAAAATACCTTCTTTTGAGTGAGCAACCTCTAACCCCAGAAAATATTCCAGTACTCCTAGATCTTTGATGCTGAAATTCTCATCAAGAGAAGTTTTGATTCTATCAAACTCATGCATTTAGTTACCAGCCACTATGATATCATCAACGCATACCAAGATAGCAGTAAAATGTGTGTTAGTTTTCAAAGTAAATAATGAGTAATCAGATGTAGATTGAGTGTATCCCCGTTGAATCAACACTGCAGTCAATTTCTCATACCATTTTCGATTTGCCTACTTTAAACCATAAAGGCTCTTCTTAATTTTGCAAACCTTATGTGGTTTTGCAGGAAACTCCTTCAGGGATAGTCATACACACATATTCTTGCAAGTCTCCATGTATAAAGGCTTTGTTGACGTCTAATTGATGTAGGAACCAATTATTGATGGATGCAGTTGCAAGAAGTGTCCTGACAGTGGTGAGCTTTGCTATTGGAGAAAATGTGTCAAAAAATCTAGTTCTTCAATCTTCTTATACCCTTTGGCGACAAGCCTCGCCTTATATCTCTCTATTATGCCATCTGCCCTGTATTTTACTTTGAAAACCCATTTGTTCCCAATAGGTTTGACATGAGGTGGCAGATCAACTATGTCCCAAGTTCCATTCTTATGTAAAGCAGCTAACTCAGAATTCATGGCTTGGGTCCAATGTTCAGACAAGCACGCCTTTTTAGAATTCTTTGGCTCATGTGCGTGTATAATAGAGGATGCAAAAATGCGATGAGAAGCAGACAAATGAGATAGAGAATCATAGTTAGATATGGGATAAACTATAGTAGGTTTACTTGAAGATGATGTGGCTGTTGAAACATTGGAAATGTTGCATACATAGTCTGAGAGATAATGAGGTATTTGTTTGGTCCTAACAGGTCTAGTTTGTGTGGCAGGTTCATGAGTTATGTCCGGATCAGGGTCATGAAGGCTATGGTGATTGTCATTTATCTCAATGTTGTCCAACATGTCATGAACTGACTGTGGAACTAAAAGTTCGGAATTGGTATTGGAAGAATTAGAGACATATGCATCATTAATAATGGGAATAGAGGTGGGTGGGTCAGTAGGGATATATTTGGAATCAAATGGTGGAACATAGTTATCTGTGTTCCTAGAGTCATTTTAAGGATGGTATTCCCAAGTAGAGGGTGTATTACTAGAATAAGGGAAAATGTGTTCATGGTGTGTTACATTTCTAGAGACAAACACTTCATAATTGTTGAGGTCATAAAGGATTGATCCCTTCATACCATTTTTATATCCAAGAAATACACATTTACTACCTCTTGGTTCTAATTTGGTTTTGTGCATATGATGGGTTGATGCATAGGCTAAAGATCCAAAAACTTTGAGGTTATGCATGTCAGGAACCTTATTATGCAGTACAAAATGAGGTGAAAGATTATTAAGGACTTGTGTGGGAAGTCTGTTTTTAATGAAAGTGGCATGTATAATGACATAAGACCATAATTTCTTTGGAAGTTTGGACTGGAAAAGGAGTGCTCTACCTACATTTAAAAGATGTTGATGCTTCCTTTCCACTCAACTTGTTTGATGTAAGATACCCTTGGAGGCGTAAAATCCAGGCATATTGAATTCAAGACCATTATTAGTTCTAACAACTTTAAATTTTGTGGAATTTTGGTTTTCAATGAGTTTAACAAAGTTTATGACATGTTGTCTAGCTTTAGACTTTGACTTCATAAGTGTTATCCACGTATATCTACTACAATCATCAACAGGTGTTAGAAAATATGCATGGCCATGTAAAGACTTAACGGCAAGAGGGCCCCAAATGTCAAAATGAATGATATGATAAGGATTGACAGCTCTACTATAGCTAACACTATAAGGAATTTTTCTCTGTCTAGCAAAGTGACACACATCACAAACATCTTTATTATTGACTGTGACAAAAGGAAATTGAGAATGTAAGTACATAAGTCTGTTTTGTGATAAGTGTCCTAATCTAAAATTCCAAAGGGCTCTATCAGGTAAAGCTATACTGGATGTTAAAGTAAATATGTGTTCAGTATTGGCATGGGAATCATTATCTCCTAGCGTTAAGTAATACAGGCCATCTCTTTTCAGCAAAACCAATCATTTTCAGTGAGTTGGTGTCCTGTATGATGCTTTTTGAATCAACAAACTTAACAATGCAGTTAGAGGATTCACACAGTTTAGCAACAAATAAAATGTTTAAAGAAAATTCAGGGATGAATAATATATTTATAATAGAGAAAAAGGGGGGAAATTGAATTGTTCCTGAGTGTTTGGCTATTAGACGTTGTCCATTAGGCAGTTTGACATTGATAGGAACAATTTCTTTATATGAATGAAACCATTTAATGGAACTACTTATATGATCATTAGCTCCTGAATCAATAATCTAAGGCTTTAAGTTGTCACTATATGAGATGTTATGCATGTTACCTAATGATGAATGACCAACGACAACTTGATTGGAAGAGGCTTGTTCTGAACCTTTCCCAAGATTATATTTCTGAAGCAGTTCCATCAACATAGTGAATTAGCCTTGAGTTATAGGTGAATTGTCAACTCTAGTGTCATTCCTATAAGGGATAGTATCATCATTAGTTCCATCTCATGCAACATTGTTGGCTGCATTTGGAAATTGCTTATACATATGTGGTGGAACACCATGTTTCTTGAAGCAATTTTCCACAGTGTGGTTAGTCTTACCACAAAATGTGCACACACGAGCTCCGTGCTTGGAATAACTTTGTCTTGTTCCATATTTCCTGGAATCCACAACATTGATTAAAGACTGAGACTCATCGTTTTATGGATGGAGCTGTATTTGTCTTTCATGTTAAATCACCATTGAAAATATTATGTTTATAGGAGGTAATGGATCCATCAATAAGATTTGTGAGTTCACCACATCAAATTGTTCATTCAAACCAGTCAAAAATCGAACAACATGTAACAATTCATGATTAGACCTAGCATTATGCACGGCTTCACAAGAACAATTTATACGACACGTTCACATTGGTATTGGCATATACAAACCTAACTCTTCCCAGAGAATCTTGATATTATAAAAGAAATCAGTTACTGGCTTTGTTTCTTGCTTGAGATTGTAAACTTCTTGCTGCAATTCAGAGATGCGAATAAGATCTCATTGAGAGAATCTTTTTTTAGATCATTCCACACATCGTGAGTGTTCTCCATGAATATAATTAATTGAGCGATTGAATCTGAAACTGAATTCATGATCCATGAATGAACCAACATGTTGCAACGATTCCATGCATTGATTGAAGGATCAAAAGAATCAACTCGAACAGGGATCGATCCATCAATGAACTCTATCTTCATCTTGCCACCAAGTGCCCTCTTCGTTGATCAAGCCCAAGAATGATAAATGGATCCGGTGATATTGGGAAGCATAGTGATGGATTCAGGACCTTCACTTGGATGGATGAAAAATGGATAGGTTTGATCTATGGCAGGATCAACCGGTGTTATGCACGGAGGAGCCATCGAAGCAGAAAGATGGAGTTAGACGAAGAATGGAAGAAGTAGGATCGGATTGGCGAGTGATACCATATTGTGAATAAGAAAAATGAATTATGAAAGTAAGAGGAATGAGGACTAAGAGGATTCAATATCAAATCTTCATTGATTACTCATCTGAGAAACTGAGGTTTATATAACAGTCTAGCTGGACAAATTGGAAGGAAGATAATATTTGTTTATCTCCTAACAAACAATGAGAGC